CGACACGGGACGCGTCAGTAATGCGAGACCTCGAGGCTCTCCTCGCCACGTTTCCGATCCCCTGGTCAACGCACCGCCACCGCTATTCGAAAGGGACCGCGCTAGATTATGAGAGTGTTTGCGAGGGCACGCAAGATCAGGTCTCTTAGGAAGAGCGCTCCAGGAGACTGAAGCGAACCGGGAGCTAAAGTATGTAACTTTTCTTTTTCACTTTACTGTAAACATCGCCTAGATACGAAGAAACATCGATATTACAGAAGATTTGTAAAATTCTTTCCTCTTTTTTTTTTTTTGATCGATCGAAGAAAGATTAGGTTTTGAAACTGTAGAAATTACTGTCACTTTTTGAAAAATCATTTCGGCGAAAGATTGAAGGAAGATTCGAAGGAACTAAGTTTACCTTCAGCCCCTGCCACACTTGACGGTTCTAACGAACTCGAAATTTACGATAGCGATTTCTAACCGATCGAAGAAATATTTAGGCGGGCTTAAGTTATACCAGAATGACACCGACACGTCATAATAGTATACGCTGTATCCGACATTTTACGATCGTAAAGCGTGGCTGGGGCTTTATCCCGGAGCATTGACACGAAGCAACGCTTTTAGCCGTAAGAAGCCTAACTTCGAAAGAAAAAAAATATTGAACGTAATAATTGCGTTTAAATTTGACGAAAAATTAATATAAACAAGTTAATAGTTACCACGCAACAGGTTATTAATTCAGCAAGTAACAAGCATCGTGAAGCATTATTAAATCAGTGAAACCAAACCGAAGCTTAATTCAATTTTCTACCTTAGAAAGAAATTTTCCACCTTTTTCTACCGTGAAATTGTAACTGTAAAAAATTTATATTATACGACAAATAGGATGCCAATTAGACTGGAATACAGAAACTAGCCCACACGTCTGCTCAAAATGATACTGCAAGCAATCATCCTGATCCTGTCCGCGAGGATATGCCACAGCAATCCCGATGCAAAGAGACTGTACGACGATCTGCTATCGAATTACAATCGACTGATTCGCCCCGTTTCCAATAACAACGACACGGTAGTTGTTAAGCTTGGACTCCGTCTATCTCAGCTCATAGATCTCGTACGTAATTTTGTATAATATAAGAAAAAAATAACATGTTTCTACGTTAAAATTTGCGAGTAATAAATAATACTGAAAATTTGCAGAATTTAAAGGATCAAATTCTCACGACGAACGTTTGGCTCGAACACGTAAGTCTAGAAGTAGTTCAGATAACACTTTGCTAAGTGTGCGCATCGCATTAATGAAGACAAACTTTGTTCAGGAATGGCAGGATCATAAGTTTCAGTGGGATCCAGCGGAATACGGAGGTGTCACCGAACTCTATGTACCCAGCGAGCACATATGGCTTCCTGACATTGTACTTTACAACAAGTACGTAAGATGAGACCCTAACTTAATCCGAGAACTTTCCTCGTTACCGATTCTCGCTTTAGGAAAGATTGAAAACACGAAGATTTTCAGTGCTGACGGAGAATATGGAGTGACTACGATGACTAAGGCCATTTTACATTATACCGGGAAGGTTTTGTGGACACCTCCGGCGATTTTTAAATCTTCATGCGAAATAGACGTTCGATACTTCCCATTTGATCAACAGACCTGCTTCATGAAATTCGGTTCGTGGACCTACGACGGTATCCAGGTAAATTTACACCCAGAAACAGAACTGCGCTTACTAAACTAGTGAGCCTTTATGTGATCCCTTTCAGATCGACTTGAAACATATTAATCAAAACACAGGAGACAAAGTCGAAGTGGGGATTGATCTTCGCGAGTATTATCCTAGCGTAGAATGGGACATCCTAGGGGTTCCAGCGGAGAGACACAAGAAATACTATCCCTGTTGCGACGAACCTTACCCAGACATCTTCTTCAACATCACGCTACGTCGAAAAACCTTATTCTACACGGTGAACCTAATCGTACCATGCGTAAGCATCTCCTACCTGTCTGTGCTGGCTTTCTACCTGCCAGCTGACTCCGGAGAGAAGATCGCCCTCTGCATCAACATTCTACTATCACAGACCATGTTTTTCTTACTAATATCCGAAATTATACCATCGACGTCGTTAGCGCTACCATTGCTCGGCAAGTACTTGCTTTTCACGATGATCCTGGTAGGTCTCTCGGTAGTGATAACGATCATTATACTGAACGTTCACTATCGCAAACCGAGTACTCACAAAATGGCGCCGTGGGTCAGAAAGATTTTCATAAGAAGATTACCGAAATTACTTCTGATGAGGGTACCTGATGATCTCCTAAACGATCTCGCCGCCCACAAGATACACGGTAGAGGAAGATCCGGTAAGAAGAGCAAGTTCAACGCTGCTGTAGCTGCTGCTGTCCACTCCTCTTCCATAGTGTCTTCCCCGGATTCAGCTCGTCATCAACGAATTGGCGGTGGGTTATCGACGAACCTCTTATTCTACGGAGAAGAACGAAAGATAGGTGTAACGGGATGGTGATTTTTCAGGATGTAACGGTCTGCACACTACGACTGCGCATAATAGATTCTTAGGAGGCATCGGTGGGTACAACGGACTTCCTACGGTGATGTCTGGCCTGGACGAGTCCTTAAGCGACGTAACACCTAAGAAAAAGTATCCCTTCGAGCTGGAGAAGGCTTTACACAATGTGATGTTCATTCAACATCATATACAGAGGCAGGACGAGTTTAACGCTGTGTGTATTAACTATCGTATCCTACATTTTCCTATATCCACTACTTTCTACATTCTTTTTCTTCTTCTTCTGTCCAATTGGTCAACTCATTACTAACGTTTATTGATATCTTTATTGGTCTCGATTGTACACAACAGGAAGATCAAGATTGGGGATTCGTGGCTATGGTTCTCGACAGACTGTTCCTATGGATCTTCACAATAGCTTCGATCGTCGGTACCTTTGTCATTCTCTGTGAAGCTCCGGCGCTACGTGATAACACGAAACCAATCGACATGGAGTACTCTTCCGTGGCGCAGCAGCAATTTCTTCCTCACGGTGACTTGCTAGAGACACTCGTGTAGACCTTGTTAGAAATGGTAGACGAGATAGCTGAGGTGCTGATTTCGCGTATTTCTCATAGAACTTGAATCACAGTACAAGCTGCGTCAATCAAACGTTTTCTCGTTTATTTTTTTGCGGAATATTTCGTTGTTACACGGAGAGAAAGTACAGATCTATTCGAATGGGTATCAACAACCTCGGCTTCTCTGATCTTTTTATTATCAAATATACGATTTCTCGATAGAGGTCTCATGTCTATAGGTACGTTTTCATTTGTACTTGTCACCATTACGTACGTGTACGCGACGAACAAGTGCTCTTGGATAACAATAAACTTGTTAACCGTACTGCTAAATGGACAGCGCAATATTACTTGTAGAGAAAACTTTTTGTAACGTCGGTTACGTACAACGTACGAACGGAACTATAATTGCCCATCGGAAAACTCTAATTGTGTATAAGGGAGAAACGATTTTAACCCTCGGATCGATATCTTCCCGAGAGAGCAATCTCAAGAAAATTGTTATGTAGTATACGTAATTTTTCAAACTATTAAAAAAAGAAGATAAATAAATAAACCTTTTTCATTAAAAACGACATATAAATATATATAAAAATATACTCGTAACTTGTTCGATATCTTGTATGCCTATGAAAATGAAATAAACGATAATTATAAAGCATCCTATCGTTCGTCCGTACTTACGATCGTATACAAAATTCATTGACCAGATACACTGACCTACATACACTTCCAAACGAAAGTATAATTTATTATGTCAAACACGTACAAGAAAATATCGTACATTAAAATACATGTATATAGTATGTGTATATATTAAAACACTGTTGGAAAATTGATCGTGTAAAATCACATATAAAACTGATTAATATCGTCGTGATTAGCTGAAGAAAAGGAAACATAATTATAATGCGCAAAAGGAATAAAACGGTATGATGCATATAAATTCTATACAAATGCGTATGAGTCAAATATATTTTAAATATGTGAAACATCAAACAGCAACCATTTGGAATATTCTATTAAATATTGTCTCTGTGGAATATTAATGAAAGTTCGAGGATATCCACAAAATTATTCCTTTTATTTCGAACATCCTTTTACACAGGTGTCTGTCTCTAAAGGTTTATTACTTAACATCCGATGCAGATCACTCGTCGTTTATATTATTCGAGCACGGAAACGGAAACCAGGTGAACTGAATTTCTCTCGTTCTGCTAATTTTTTCAATTCGGATTTAACTCGTCGATTTGCAAATTCCTTTTTCTGTAATCCGCATAAAAATATCTCCTTTCTACAGGATAGTTCATCTATATGTATATAATATAATATGCAGGAATACGTTTCACTGAAAGTCCCGGAAGCACCAATAAACTACAAAAATAATAATGCGCGAACGTTATTGCGAACAGGAGATGGGACAACTTTTCTTTCGTGCACGCTCTCGATTGATCGTTCTCTTATATCTGTCCTCGCCAATATTACGCGTGAAAAATCAAACAAAGAAAAAAAGCGAAAGAAATGAAAATAAGAGAACGATTCTCAGTCAAACAGATCTTTACCAAAACTGACAACACGGAAGAAAGTAGGAAATACATGATTATCCTCCTCGCTTCGTGTTTCAGGCAAATTTCTCTCCTCGATTCTAGAAATATCATCCTAGGACTACGAAATATGACAAAATGCAAGCGAGAACGACAACGCGCTCAAGAACGAACGCTCGATTATATCTATATAACACCATCACACGCTATCTATAAATCCCACGTACATACGTACAACACTCGACCCACTCATCTCACTTATAAATCAACATATAGAATCTACAATCGTGACTATCACACATTACAGGTTGCATTCGTCTCGCAAGAAATAAGCGTCATATAATATAGTATTCGGTGATACAACCTATGACGATCTCGTCGAATAGTTCCTCCTCTTAAAACTTAATACAAGCAGGGAAATATCAACTACTCCCCGATAAATGTTACACTGTATCTGATTACATAAAGGACCGCGTAACAATAAATATACAAAGTGTCTCGCCGGTTATGGGACACGGCTCAGCCCTTCCATATACCGATATAATTTTTACATTTCGGACAAAAGTGATGGACAGTCTTAAAGTTGCTCATGTAATACGGCAGGCACGAGCAAAGGAAACATCTGAAATTTGAAAGACCATCGGTGAAAATTGATTTTGCGCTATCTAACGTTTACACCAACACCGAAAGCATGAAGGTTCTTTTCCCCCTGAGGGAGCTAAAAACCCTGTCCCTAGAAGCTGTTGCGGAGATCCCATGCCAGTGTAGGAAGAGAATGTTTCGCATCACTTCCGTAAAGTGATTATGAGCCGGTGTGAAATAATCGCAGAATGGAGAACATAGAAAACCAAGAGACAGAAGAACAAACAAAATAAGGTGTCACAACATAGATATCAGTGCTAAGAGGAAAATGCAGGACGGTTGCACAGATACGTATTGCGTTATGATATGTAGGATTATTATTGTCGGGGCGGATATTGCAGTTTTCCTAAAATTCACGCAACAAAGCACAGAACAGTGGATTAATTACCTATTAAAAAAAAACTTACTAGCGAAAGAAATATTATTTTCAGGATAATACTTCGTATTGTAAACAAACGTACACGTGAGTAGGTAGTTACAATGATAAAAAAAAAAAATTGTGAGCATTAAATACAGTTTTAAGTAATAGGACGGTGTGGTATTTCAAATGAAATGTATGTAAAATGGTGTATTTCTACATACATTTTCTCAACCCAAAAAACTGAAAAGGACCAGCAAGGGAACTTCGGTAACCCGAAAATTCCGACTTTTTTGAAACTTTCCGGGTTTGTAGGGGACCTCGAGAGAAGTTTCGGGCAATTTTTTTCGGCCCAATTTCGGTTCTTCGGGGTGAAAACAGCCCTTGAACGAAGATAAGTGTTACCCTATTTCCCTGTATATCTTTAAAACTGTAGTAGATATAAAAAAATTTTTATAATAAAAATTTAATGGCTTTTTATGCCTTATAAGGCTGTGCTGTTAAATGAATAATCTTCCACTACCATTGTGATGAAAAATTTCGAATTTTCGAAAAATATGTCAAATAAATATGCTAGATATGTGAAACTTATGGAATAATGTAGTATTTAAATAATTTTAATCGATACGTGCTTTTTGTGTCGTCGTCATTCCACTTTGAACGATGGGTTATCAGTTACCAAGTCTGCGTGTGTGCGTAAGTATGCGTGCTTTTATTAATTTAATAGCATCGACATAAGCAGCGATTAAATTTTTATTATAAACATTTTCTTATGTCTTCTGTAGTTTTAAAGATACACAGAGAAATAAGGTAACACTTATCTTCATTCAAGGGCTGCTTTCACCCGAAAAAAAATTGCCCGATACTTCTCTCGAGGTCCCCTACAAACCCACAAAGTTTCAAAAAACTCGGAATTTTCGGGTTACCGAAGTTCCCTTATAACTAGGCTGTTCAGGTAATAACTTACACACAAGCAATAACTAGGTCTTTATTCTACATTAATAAATTCAAGGACATAAAACACTGTATCCTTTGTAACACACGTTGGATCCAATTGAATTGCTAAGATAATACAATCTTTTTCATTAGTTTCTGTAAAATGTTTCGTTTACACAACCTTGTGCTGATTAATGGGTTAAAACTTAATATTGCACATAACATAACAAATTTATAATTTACTACAAACACAGCTTCTCTTTGTCGTATCTGGATTATAATAACTCGATATAATAAGGCAAGGGGTTAGAAGCAAAAAAAAAAAGGTGCACAAGCAACGAAGCATAATGAATCAAGGTACTCACCCAAGTAAGCAGAGGATGATACAGCAAATATGGGCGCTCAGCTGATGATCTGATACCGTGTTAGTCTTAATGCTTGTGTGACATGTCGGACAGATCGTTTTTGTCGAAGTCGAGGTCAAGGAATAAAGCACTGGCTGATAGACGACCCGAATTTTCGGCCCAGGTACAGCGCTCGGATTTTCATTAGGCTGTGCCTGCGTTTGCGTCTGCGAGTGCGAAGGTGGTGGCTCGCTGGGTCCTGAATAAACCGGTGGATACGGTGGTACGGGAGACAACGTTGTTTTGCTCGGTGGCTGATTTTCTGAAATTCCAATCAACCCCCGTTCGTCTAATTGTGTTTCTTCCAACGTTTCCGTTCATTTCGTCGGATGGATGTTTTATCTTTCAAATTTAGCCCTCCATAGGCAATCCGGGTCGTCAATGACCCAAGCCAAAATTTCTTCGAAACGAATTTCTGATTTTTATTGAAAGAAGTTTGAAACATCTGACTTAACGAACAATTTTATGATACAATAGAGAAGTACCCTAGAATTTATTCAGATTTTTTGAAAATATAGAACGGTAAGGAAATTAGACTTGGAGATAAACGACTTAGTTTACCTACGGAGTGTGAAAAAATATGTTTACCTACGGAGGGTTAAAGGATTACTGCGTATCTCACCCCATATTAACTTTTTGTGAGGTCCCTAAATTTTTCTCTTTTTGCTTTTTTAGAACTTCTCGAAATGATAATCGCCGATTTTGCTGAAACAAAATCGCGGTAAAATAAGTCCAAGAGAAAAACTAAAATTTTTTTATTTGAGTTATTGAGTTATTCTGTTTCTGCTCGTGTTTGTAACTATAAGGGGAAGAGTGGGTGGCCCCGGACATTGAAATGAAATAGTAAAAAAATACACTAACAAAAAGTCGAACTAAGCTTTCAAAAAATGAACTTTAGACCTTCTTCTTTTACTATAATTCTAAAATTTGAGTATATCTCGTATATGACTTTAAGAAAAGCACCAGTGAATTTTGGCCTTTAGTTTTAAGGATTCAAAAAATGGCGGGTAGCCCCGAACAGTAATTTTTGTATTTATTTTATTCACTTTTCTGTTAAATATTCTTATAAATATCGCAAATAATATTATATCATTCATTGTTATGTTATTGAAGCACTATATATGTATCATTATGAGTCTTCCTCGAAATCTATGAGGAATATTAAGACGTTCTGCCGAATCAAAAGCTAGTTTTAAAAACTCTGTTCTAGTCAATGGCATTAGGCGATTGTCCAATTGTGATTATAAAGTTGCCCTGAAAATTCCTCATTAAAAGTTGAGTCAAAGCGACATAATTTCGGCTTAAGAATTATTTCTTGACCGTTTTTTATCTCGTAGAGAACTACGTGATGCAGTAGCTAATCTTAGTGATAATTCACCGTTACGTCTTTCGTGTTATTTTCATCCCGTATACCTTCATTGCTTACTCGTCCTTTAAATTTCGGCATTTTTTACCCATTTTTAAAATAAAACTATTCATATTATACAGAATCTTGGAAAGACATAAGCGAACAAACTATAAATAAAACAATAGATAAAAGTGATCGGGGCTACTCGATGGACGTGATCCAATATTTTTATTAACCACTTTTACAATACCAAAAAAAAAATATAAAAAAAACTCAAGTATCTTAAACTACATTTAATTGTCAAAACATAAAAGAATACTTACATTTAGTTCAGAATAAGGTTTGATAAAATTTGATTGGAACAGAAGTACCGCTTTTAATCGTAACAAAATTAAGTGTGATATCAGTATCGCTTGTCCAATCGATCTACAACTAACTGAAAAATGTGTTTGACACTAGAAAGACGCGTGGTAATGTGTCATTTGTTTCTTTAGGTATAATAGTTGGATAATCGAAGTATTCAACTGTCACACTTCCCCTAAACACGATCAATGTCACGATTTGCTTCTTTCCAAAATATGAATCGACCTGCACTATCGCTTTCTTTTATTCTGCATTTAATTCGAATAGTTTCACAAACAAGGATAAAATTCGCACTTTTTAACACGTTAAACGCCATGTCAGTCACCGGCGCCTGACACTATACTTTCCGTTCAGGCCGCATCAGTCACCGGTGACTGACAGTATACTTTTCGTTGGTCGTCTTCTGTTTATAGTTCGCATGGCCCACTTGACAGCCAAGTGTGGCCTGAACGGAACGGTAAGCAAAACAGGCTGGGCGTTTAACGTGTTAAGAATCGTTTCATTAATGTAACTATGTAGTGTTCTCAATAACAGTTCTCTGTACAAACGACTTGCCGCAAACGCGTTACCATAAAATGCTCCCAAAGCAAATATCGTATCAACGTATTCTCGATTTGTGTATTTAGAAGCCGCGACGAAAAAAAAAAAAAAAGGACTACTGGTACAGACCAACAGCAACAATAACAGGAAGCCAATCGTGACATTATCCACGTTTAATAATACAAACACGAGCAGAAACAGAAGTTTCATACCTCGAAACTGGCAGTTAATACACGGATACCTAATGGATTCTCAAACTCAATTTCTTTGAAAACGAAGCTTTAAATGAACAAATGTTATTCTTTCTTTTTTTTAATTTATTTTCACGTATGGAATCACCGATCGGTTGTACCACGATTTTGGGGACACCCTGTATAGTAGCTGTGAAAAAAATATTCAATTGGCAATCATCCACGGTGAAACGGTGGAAATCGCCCTCGAAATTGGAGGTAGTAAATATTAGTCTAATATCTCAAAAAGCTATCAGAGATACAGAAGTAACGTAAATACACGAATTTTGTATTTTACAATAACAGGTTTTACAAATAACAAATAATTCCGACCAAATATGTTTATTGCCGCCATCTTTGAGGCACGATTTTCAACCATTCATGTGGACGATTGCCAATAAAGAAAAAATACGTATCGAATATTTGTTCGAGTACATACTACCATATACCAAAATTTCATCAATATCGGTGATTGTCATTTCAACTGTACTCCCTTGTTAGCTTTAAAAAAATTCTAATTAATAGAAACAAAATATTCCCATCGTTGGACCTGGAGACAGCAGTGGAGGAGACTTGATAGTAGACTTTTGGATGTTTACAAAAACGACAGAAAACGAAGAGTCGGGTTCAGGATTGAACTAATACTTAAAATGATACTTACGAATTGGTATTGGCATAGAGGATGGTCCTACGGGATACGGTGGAATGTTTGGATGGCGGGGAAGACGAGTTGCATTTTCAACAGCTTCCTCATAAGATGGAGGAGCCATGGGTGGAGGAGCTGAGGGTTCAGTGCTCCCACTGGGCATTTTTTCAGTTTCATCGGGCAGTTTCATATTTTTTTTCATTCTTCCTGAAACAACATTTTAGCATACTTTAAGAAAGAAAGGAAAAAGAACGAGTTAGTACGTTAGGAAAGAACGAAAATCCAATTTCCAATTGTTTTGGGTTTTATTGAATTAGGTTAACTCGAGAATTGGCGGATAGTAATCGTCTTTAAAGAACCAAACAATGCGAGCAAATGAGCACGAAAGTGGCCGTGCGCGAATAGAAAGTTGAACGGATGTTAAGTAACAGAGACGACACGATGTGTGCTCGCTTAACAGGCCCGTGCGTAGGAAATTCAGAGCTCGTAATGTCCTTTGTTTAGCCTTAAAGCTGGATTACATTACACGTAAGCGTGACTCCAGCATTTTCCGTTAAATCTCGATTCAATACGGATACGTAGAAATTACATCGACATCGAGAGAATTTAGAAATATATGTTATAAAGTTTATGCAATTTTTATTAAAACCATTGCGAGTCACGTAATGTAACATCCACTGGATGCCAACACGTGATAATTATCATAACGCGAATTAAGTATGTAGTGACTCAGTGTAAATTCATATTATCGATCGCGATGTTTTCCCAAGAAAAATAAATATCAGGATTTATACATTATGTAAATAGCTTAAATAAGAAATGCTGAAATGCGTCTTCCTGGAATCATTCTTTTTTCTTTTTTTTTTTTGTAGCCTGAATTCCACGTCAATGAGTAATCTGAAGAAGTCACAGACCGTTAACAAATATATGAATTTATTGTTTTAAAAAATCTTCGTGATTTTGTAAAGAACCCGAGCACAGTGTGTATGTGACACCAATTATATAAGCATCTAATTGTGCAACGTAAAGTAGGGAAATAGTAACAGGTGTGAAATAAATATTGATTTTTTAATTCAGACACATCAAACACGCACATGACGTAAAAATTTGACGCATCGATGTAACCCCTGTCACAATTGTGACAAGGCTACCTAAATCGTAATTCCCATATATACTACCTATCGCGATATCCCTAATAAAGAATCTTTTATCACAGAGGAAGTTAAATTAGAGCAATAAAACGGTATACTTACCGATATTAAGATCACAGAATTTCGGAATCAATCAGATGCCTCTTCTTATATGGAGGTTATAGTTGAATACTCCAAAGGACTAATGGATATGTGCACCATGAAAACACTGTTGCACGTACTGCACTAACCGACGTTTAGTTATCTTTGAACATTATGTCGAACACTTTCGACGCGTATTTATAACTGAAACGAAGAAAAACACGCGGCACTCGCAAAAAACTGTAGTATAACTACCGCTAGAACGACTGACAAGACTCTGTTGCAACTTCTAACGTGAGCCAATCAAATTGCTCGTTACATTTCAGAAGTAAAACTGGAGAAAATGGCGCGAAAAGTAAGAAATAATTTTATACGTATATGATTATCACTAAAATACAGTGATTCTATAAGAATTTTATTATTCTTTCGGATGTATTTTTTGTTTTTATTAGTAGAAATATTTTCTGTGTATTTCCTGTAATTTTTTGTAAAAATATTGTTAAAGTGAAAATTATTGGAAAGTCATTTGATTCCTCCTTGTTCGCGGCGCAGTATAAACTACTACTGCGTTCTGTCACAGTGAGTACGCTTATAAAAGTGCAATAATGTTTGTGAAGAAGAATAAAAATAGTGATGCAAGGTGTAGAAATGAAGTCTAAACGCAGAAGCTATGAATTTTGTAAGTAAAAGCATAAAATTCTTTAATATAATAATATTTAAATATCTCACTTTCTTGATTTTCGTTACACTGTTGGAAAATTCACTTTTAAAGATTTCATCCTGTGATTTATTTCAAGAAACTTCCTTCTTACTTATACAATTTATTTACTTATACACAGTATATATGCTATATTTTTTATATCCTGATATATTACAACAAACTTGAATTACCAATATATTAGTAATATAAATACATCCATAATACTACAAAGATGTTTTTTTGCATATTAATTATAAGTTGGCAACACTTTCTGCTACATATATCTGTAACTTATTGAACATAGAACTTTATAAAATATTCTAGCAAATGTATCTGAATATATCAAACTAAATTCCATGTACATTGTTTAAAATATAAAAAATGTAGCAGCAACAGTAGAGATTGCAAAGTTTTACATACAATGTTGGAACATAGTAGTTCCAGATAGGTTAGAAATCATGGAAATAAGTGTTAAACTTCAATATATCGAATAATGATATTATCTTAGAAGAAAAAGGGATGGTAATAGGAAACCATCGAATATTTATTCAGAGCAGTTCATATCAGTTAATGGAACTGTATCTATTATGTTAAATTGTATAACATAAAATCTCCAAAATGATGCATTACACTCCTTGGATCCATCATCAAACGATGTTGGACAACCATCAATGTTACACACCATATATGACTAATGTGCCATCTTATCCTCATAATAATCATCAACAACAGCATATTACTGAAGAAGAAAGCGAACAAACAGGAGATGAAACTCACGATACAATGACCTCTGCTACATCAGGAGAACGTAGTTCTAGTGCTGATATATTTAGATTAGAATTTGCAGCAGCACAATGGTCTAAACTAGTCTCAAACGCAGAGGGTCTCTTCACTAAGCTTATGACAAGTAATATTCTACCTCATACAGAACAAGATCAGATTGAACAATGGCTTTGTATGAAACAAGAGTATGAAGAATGTATTGCCAGTGACGATACTGTTAGCTTACAAGGTTATACCGAAAATACCAGAAGATCGTTAGAAAGAATAGAAGAAGTAACTGAAACTGATGAAAAGACAGATGAATCTCTTCATCAAATGGAAAGAAAGATCAATTTAAATTGTTCATCCAGTTCAGAGAGTGAAATGTCTGAAACTAATGATGATGATGAAGAAGAAGAGGAAGAGGACCATAGTGATATCAGTTCAGAAAATCCAGACTTCTTAGAAAAATTGTACGAATGCATGAATAAACTTAAGATGGAAACAGATAGACTTGTTGATTCTAAAAAGGATGAATTCAAATCAACAAGTATTCAAATCATCCCATCTATAAAAAGATCTATAAATACCAATAATAATTATGTCCCTGCAACTAGACCTACACCACTTAGAAATCCAAATTCCAGAAGAAATTCTATGCTTCCTGGTTCTGAAATGTGTAACGAAGTATTAGCTTTTAACGATAGCTTTAAACCTATCCAGAATCATATGTTTGATAACAAAACATCTGAGTTCACTAGTATAAGAATCTTAGATAATCATGAACCTGAAACAATTATCAATGAAACTTTCACAACTCACAATGATAATTCACCAGATTTATTAATCGATGCTCTTAAGACGACAGAAATGCCAGAACCCATACAGGAACTGAAAGCATTAGCAATGAATAATGAAGCAAAGCAAACTCAAGTGAAGAAAATACAATCAGATTTAGATGGAGCCCATAAATGCATAGAAGAGCTACAAACAACTATTAAAATCAAGGAAAAATTCATTGCAGATATGATAAAGAATTCTGATGCACGTGCCAGCGCAAAGCAAAAATTTCAATGCAAGTGGAGTAAATTAGAGGAGGAATATTACAATACAAGGAGTCATCTAGCCAGAGCAGAAAATGCATCAATCTATAAGGACACAGAGGAAAAGTCTGCGCATAAGAAAGAAATTGAACTATACAAAAACATGGCTTTTCATTATGAGAAGAGATTAATGGATATTGAAATGATCAAACAAATTGCAGGTGATTCTGCTAAGAAAGTGTTAGAACTTGAGAGTTCTTTAAACACTTCCAAGAAGCAAATGGAGAAGTTGAAGAAACAATTAAGGAAAGAGGAGGAACGTAAAAAACAGTTAGAGGAGGAACTAGCAGGGGATCAGAAGAAAATTCGCGATCTCGAAGAAAAGTACAATTTGACGGCTTCCAAACTAAAAGAGATGCAGTCAGAGAGTGAGGACGAAAAGAATAACAGCAAATCAAAAACTGACTACTCCGATAAGAAAAAGAACTTGTTAGACGTCAGTGCTAGAATATCACATCTTGACCATGTTTTAAAGGAAAAATCCATGGATTTGGAGAGAACAGCGGACATCGACGAAAAGGAAGCTCTACGCCACGAGATTCGAAACTTACGACGTACCAGGGATTGCTTGGTGGATGAAAAATGCGATCTAGACGAAAAATTTCAAAAAGAGAAAACTCTGTCCACCGTGGAGGAACGAAAACTATTAGAATGCGGGGAAACGATCGAGGCGATCGATGCTATGATTGAACACAAGAACGAGATGATTTGTGGACGAAAAGGATTCGATGAGAATCAATCTCAACGCGAGAAAGGAGAGAGAATGTTGATGGAAAGACTGGCGAAACTTTCAGACGGAGAAATGAGAACTTTGTTTTATAAATATTTCTTGAAGGTGATCGATTTGAAGGAGAGCTCGAAGAATTTGGAGGTGCAGACTGCCGAATTGGAGAGTCACATAGAGACACAGGAATGGCAGGTGCAAACGTTGACTAACGCATTGAAACAGACTAAATTGGAAGCCGAGAGAAGATTAGTTTTAATGCAAAGGGAGCACGAGGAAAAGTTACATCTTATGTTCAGACACTTTGCAGAGGAGACCGGCAGCTCTGGTCACGAGAGACTGGACAAAGAATCTGAATTGGCGAAATACAAACGTGAAAACAGAACGTTGAGAAAACGATTAGCGGATGTCGAGGCTCTTCTGAAAGGACCAACACCTCCGCGTGCAACTAGTCCAGCGAAAATATCGCAGCAAGGATTGAAACAAATTGCACCGAGTAGTCGGCCAACAACCAAAGTCACTAGACAGCGAAATAAATTGATAATACAAAAGACCACCGACTGCGATAAGAAAAAGAAATGAACTCTTTTAGAGTGCACTTTTCTTTTCTACGTTTTTCCTCGATTAGCATTTCTTTTTTATTTTTTTACTTTTTTGTACAGTATCTAGGCGTTACTTTTATTGATTCTCATTTAACGGAACATACACACGTTCGTTTCGAACATTTGGAAAAACAGTCAGTCAGTTGTTCGTATTTCACGTGAGGATTGTTGCTTTTCTGATTTTGCGAAAGGCAGAATTAGCAGTAATGGCAATTTACTCTGGATAGAACAATGAACATGCGCAATTTCATTGCATGATCACATTATCACTTCCCTTGTTCGATTATCAATCGGTAGTTATTGTATAATCGTAAGATAAATTCAATTTATAATTCATAGTATTAATCGTCGAATCAAGAATATTAAATCTCGATCAAGATATCACATGCATGTCTCTCCCAAAATGTTATTTAATCAATTAAATAAATAAGTATCGCGTTTAAATGCCATAAACACCGTATAGCGTATTTGTGTTTCAAATATCAAAGGAAATTCTTATTGTCAACAATCATTTGAATACTCGTTCTATTAAATATGACAAGTATTCAATGATATACATCATAGGTCGCGACATTTTTTTCACAGCTCTATTTAATACCGATAATTGTATTTCATACTCGTTACTGTAAAAGCAGTCATTATATGTATAAGTTCGTACTCATTGACTTCCTACACATAATTTATTGCAATTTTGTAAATATAATAAACATTGATGATAATATGTTAAATATGATATTGGTCTTTAACCCTTTGGGCCCTGAAATATAGTACTCTCGTGTTCTACAATAATCCGTAAAATAAGTTGCAGAATTATAGAGAAAAAAAAAGAAATTAGTAATAAATAATTTATTTCAAGCACATCGTAAAGTCACGTTCGATTACCACAAGCAATTAGAAGAGTAGCTAAAAGGGCCAGAAGGATTAATATCCTTCACAATTTCTGGAAATGAAAACAATAAATAAATAAATAATCAATTATTGAAAAAGAAGTATGTGTTTTTTTTATTCTACGATCAAACGACAATGTAAATTCGAAAATATGAGATTCAAGAAGCGATGAAATTTCATTATCTGAGAAAGAATCCTCAAATTCACACCGTGTCGGCGTAACAGACCACAGCAATCTATAAAATCGGTCGAGCAGATATAAAAGGAACCGAACACAGTATTATTTTGCATTCTCAATTTGAGAACTCTATCGAGTATTTTGCCGCCTGAGTTTATTCTTTTATGTAGCATGTGGTACAAATCCGACAAGAAAATTTATGCTAGATATTTAAATAAATTTCTGGTGGCAAGAAATAAAAGACTTATAAAAACTAACTTAACGTAGTTTCCGTAGTGTAGTGGTTATCACGTGTGCTTCACACGCACAAGGTCCCCGGTTCGATCCCGGGCGGAAACAGTTGTGCTTTTTTTTCTTTTTTAATGTTTTTACTAAAAGTAGTACATTAGAATAACGTTTATATATTTTTTCACATATCTATAATTTTTCAAAATTTCAACCTGTAGAAATTAGAATTTTATATACACGTATTACACGTATTACTGAGAGTATAAATAATTTAAAAAATTACTTATTGCATAATACTCGAATATATCAGCATACAAGTACTTACGATTACAATTCCTTTTTTTTTTATTACAATTTGTACAATATTATATCGAAAATACAGAATTGTATTATGCAATTATAGAACTAATTTAGGAATTAACAATGTCATTCATTTTAAGAGAAGACACAATCAAGTGTCAGGATGGCCGAGCGGTCTAAGGCGCCAGACTCAAGGTTTCTCACACCTTCTCAGTTTAGTTAACTGAGTTTTCATGAGTGTTCTGGTCCTCTCTGAGGGCGTGGGTTCGAATCCCACTTCTGACAAATTCTTTTGCAACTGTTACAAGCATTTTTCATACAATAACACTCTCAGTAACTCGATTATTTTTTATAAAAATCTTTTGAGATATCTCCTATTGCAAATAACGCATGTGACTCGAGTTCGATTCTCGTTGCAGAGTATTCTTTTTTTTTTCCTTGTAATAAAAAGTAATGCATTATCTGCTTATGCCGTGAAATTATTTGATATTTGTAAAAAGATTTTCAACTGAAGGAGCATATTCACCTTTTCTATTCAAAAATTCTGACCGGTACTGACCTATCCGTCGCGCGGCTGCCTGGCCTAGCACAGCGCATAAAACTTGCTTCCTTGGGCGTAGATTTTAGTTGTAAAAGACGAAGCCTCAAACGCAGTATTTTATTCTTTATTTTTGATTCTTTATTAAATTTCTCCCAGAAGTGACCGAACACCCTGCATATAAATATTTACATGTAGAAATGATAGAATTTCTGTGCGTGTTTAGTCCGATGCGAGAGTTGAGTGAACGGAGAATACTTGAGCCGGGGCGACAATAGAAGTGCGAAAGAAAAGTGTTTGGGACTGAGTGCTTGAGAATATCGTGTGAACGAAGGGTGTGTGGCCACCCAAGGATTTAAGTGGACGTGACTGAATGTCTCCTCGAAATGACTGCGTAGAACGAGAGGAAAATAGTAGAAGGAAGAGAGAGAATGTGCGAGTGAAAGAATAGAGAAAGGTCTGGAAGATGCGTGCGCAAGGTCAATGTGGAAAAGTCAATGTAGTAGGTCAGACTGAGAAAGTTAATATGGAAGAGTCAGTGTAGAAAACAGAGTAGAGACAGCGTGGTTTTGAGATGCAACGGCGTAGACTTACGTGGAATTATATTAAACGTAGCTGTACACTTCTATTTTCTATTATATATATTTTGTTTGAAATTACACCTGCCCAGAATAATTATATTTTGAATAAATTCCTGCATCTAAATCAAATAGAATATTGACATAAAACTGTTTAAAAAATTCTTAAAGTTGCAAAAGTTTTATCAATTATTATACACAAGATTGCAATAAATAGTGGACAACATGTGAAATTGCAAAAATTACAAAAACATTCGATAAATCGTTGTTCGGTAGATTTATAAATAGTACCTCGTTCTCGGCGAACTTGTAGAAGAAGTAGTGATGGCGGGAAATAAACACTCGAGTCTATATAAGGCCGTGACGCGCACCGTTGCGCATTTGTCTCTCCGACTAGGACAATGAGATGGTCTTCACTTTAGAATCTTATCGTTGAAGCCACGTGTTTAGGCTTACGCTGCGTCGACACAAGACGATACCGTGTTTGAGAAAGTCAATTCGTTTGCCAAGGATTGTGTATTTTCTAAAGGAGTTGTATTTGGCTGGAAAACGAAAACAACTTTCCCTCGAAAAATTTCCCAGCCAGATCACCCTCAATAGCAATTGACATCGTAAGCCCACACGCAATGAAAAGAGGAACCTTAGGATTTATGATAGGGACCTTAGTTTTTCGAACAAGAGACTTTTTGTGCGTCGTCAGCGACGAAATACGTGACCTGTAGGCGTTGCGTAATCGAGAAACCGCCCCCCTGGTTTTTAATTGGATAATCCTAGGTCCCCCACTCTTTTGCATTTCCCCCCAAGGTTACAGGGAGGATTTACCGGACGATAGAGGCGACATCATTCTAACGTGGACGAAAAGCTCTCTTTCCTGAAACAGAACATGTTCGGACATCAAAACGAGAACATTTTCTCTATTTGAAACCGAGTAAATAAAGTTTATTCAAATTTCTTACAGTAATCAAGTACTTTATAAACTATTTATTAACAATTGGCTACTGAATATTTCGAAAATGCTACGTTGCACAAGTTATGATTTGAATAATCGCGACTTTTCTACTTCGAATTTATTTGACCTTGATTTTTGCAACTTTCGAAACGTCAAACGAAGCAGTCGTGGCCGAGTGGTTAAGGCGTCTGACTAGAAATTAGATTCCCTCTGGGAGCGTAGGTTCGAGTCCTACCGACTGCGGATCATTGGTGTTTTTTTTTCATATTAAAGAAAATTTGAGAAGAAATATGTATTCTTAGTAAATATTTTTTGACTCTATAGAAACGAACA